TCTGGGTGGTCAGTGCGTGCTCCATGCGGTCAGTAGGGGCCCTGGGTGGTCAGTGCGTGCTCCAGGTGGTCAGTAGGGGCCCTGGGTGGTCAGTGCGTGCTCCATGCGGTCAGTAGAGGCTCTGGGTAGTCATTGCTTGCTCCATGCGGTCAGTGCATGCTCCATGCGGTCAGTGGGGGCTCTGGGTGGTCAGTGCGTGCTCCATGCGGTCAGAAGGGCTCTGGGTGGTCAGTGCGTGCTCCATGCGGTCAGTAGGGCTCTGGGTGGTCAGTGCGTGCTCCATGCGGTCAGTAGGGGCTCTGGGTGGTCAGTGCGTGCTCCATGCGGTCAGTAGGGGCCCTGGGTGGTCAGTGTGGGCTCTGGGTGGTCAGTGTGGGCTCTGGGTGGTCAGTGTGTGCTCCAGGCAGTCAGTAGGGGCTCTGGGTAGTCAGTGCATGCTCCATGCGGTCAGTAGGGGCCCTGGGTGGTCAGTGCGTGCTCCAGGTGGTCAGTAGGGGCCCTGGGTGGTCAGTGCGTGCTCCAGGTGGTCAGTAGGGGCCCTGGGTGGTCAGTGCGTGCTCCATGCGGTCAGTAGAGGCTCTGGGTAGTCAGTGCGTGCTCCAGACGGTCAGTAGGGGGGCTCTGGGTGGTCAGTGTTGGCTCCAGGCGGTCAGTGTGGGCTTCAGGTGGTCAGTAGAGGCTCTGGGTGGTCAGTGTGGGCTCCATGCGGTCCGTAGGGGCTCTGGGTGGTCAGTGTGGGCTCCAGGCGGTCAGTAGGGGCTCTCTGGGTGGTCAGTGTTGGCTCCAGGCGGTCAGTGTGGGCTTCAGGTGGTCAGTAGAGGCTCTGGGTGGTCAGTGCGTGCTCCATGCGGTCAGTAGAGGCTCTGGGTAGTCATTGCTTGCTCCATGCGATCCGTGCATGCTCCTAGGGTTGCCACCTGTCCAGGATTCACCCGGACAGTTCGGGTTTTGAAGCTCCATGCGGTCAGTAGGGGCTCTGGGTGGTCAGTGGGTGCTCCATGCGGTCAGTAGGGGCTAGCAGTTTCCTGTAATGTGGAAGCAGTCTCTAACAGACTTGAATAACTTGGAAGCAGTTTTTAGCGGTCTGCTTCCATGTTACACAAAACTGTTAGAGGATGTTGAAAGGTTTCCGTAAACTGCTAGAAACTGCTTCCAAGTTATAGTAGACTGCTAAAGACCACTGTAACATGAAACCAGTCTCTAGCAATCTACTGTAGCTTGGAAACAGGCTGTTGAGGACTGCTTCCAAGTTACAGGAGATTGTTAGATACATCTTCTAAGTTATAGCAGAGTGGTCGAGAGTGCTTTCAAGTGACAGGAGACAGTTAGAGGCTGCTTCTAAGTTACAGCAGTTTCTAGCAGTCTCCTGTAATTTGAAAGCAGTTTCTAGCAGTCTCCTGTAATTTGGAAGCAGTCTCTAGCAGTCTGCTTTTACTTAGAAGTAGTCACTAACAGTCTCTTGTAACTTGGAAACAGTCTTTAACACTCTCCTGTAATTTGGGATCAGTCTCTAGTAATATGACATTAGTTTCCTGTAACAATGAAACTTTAACCAGTCTCTTGTATCATGGAAAGCAGTCTCTTACATGGCGGCTGGTCCCTCTCTACTGCAGGGGAGGCAACATTGGCACTCCAGCTTTGGTCAAACTACAAATCCCATCATGCCTTTAGGAGTCATGTCTGTGACTGCGAGAGTCTTGCAATACCTCATGGGACTTGTAGTTCCACACCAGCTGGCGGGCCGAGGCTGCGACCCCTGAGCTAGTCATCTGGCTGTGGTCTAGGTGGGATTCTGGTTGGGTGCGAGTCTACAACAGGGGGGAGACAACCTGTGGAAAAATCTACAAATCCCATCATGCCTCCACCCCTGGCAATCGTACCTGTGGCTGTCCGAGTCTTGCAATGCCTCATGGGACTTGTAGTTCCACAACAGCTGGAGGGCTGACTTTTGGTTACCTGGTTATAAAGGCCTCCGTGCACGCTTCAGCTTTATTTGTTCTTTTTACAGGTTTACAGCGGGGGCCGTACTTGTATAGCGGAGGCAGCCGCTCGTTGTCTTCAGCTTAAACTGCACGGGGCGGTTTGCGGTAACCACGGTAACCTACCACGGCGGCGATTGGCACAAGTTGACGTGACATTTGCCCACCGTCGTCCGCAATCAAACACACGTGTCACACGCAATCCATCACGCAAACCGCCCATGCGGCATAGACCGAAGACTCTCAATTGGCCAACAAAGCAGCAATGCCATTGGTCCCTACTTAAGAGCGCATCCCCCTCCCCCCCCGACCCAATCAGGACAACCGTTCGGCCGCCGAAAACATTTTTAAAAAACATTCTGTTTTTGAAGCATAAAATCAGCGAGCGCATTAAAATGCCAAAAAAAAGCAACACTTCTTTTTTCTTTTTATATAAAAAAACGAAAACTGAAGAATCAAAAAATTATGTACAAGCGATCAAGGTTGGGATTTGGGGTTCCCCGGCGCTCTCCTCCCCCCTCTTACAATCTCTGTGTATAGTTGGGATTTAGGGTTCCGCCGGCGCTCTCCTCCCTCCTCTTACAATCTGCGTATAAGGTTGGGATTTGGGGTTCCCCGGCGCTCTCCTCCCCCCTCTTACAATCTCTGTGTACAGTTGGGATTTGGGGTTCCCCGGCGCTCTCCTCCCCCTCTTACAATCTCTGTGTATAGTTGGGATTTGGGGTTCCCCCGGCGCTCTCCTCCCCCCTCTTACAATCTGTGTATAGTTGGGATTTGGGGTTCCCCCGGCGCTCTCCTCCCCCCTTAGAATAGTTGAATACATTGTTGCTTTTCATCTCATCATAGAAAGTATAAAAATCAGTAAAAAGTTGACAAACCGGCAAAGAAATCCCCAAATTTCGGCTTCCATATATGGTATGGAGGCAGGAGAACTGGAAAGTAGCATTTTTTGGGGGGTGGATCGCCTGATCATTCCTCCAAATATAGCTTCAGTGTGGGCTGGCTCTTTATTAACAATGAACCTTCACCGGCCGATTCTTGCATCTCATTGGTTAAGAAATGATAACTTAAAAAAAAGTGACTGCATCACAATAATAGAGATTTGCCGTGTGGCGGATAGAGTGCGGGGCATCCAGTGTGGGTGGGGGGTGGGGGGGCTACATTGTCATTTTGAAAGGAAAATCTAAATGTTATTGGGATCCAGTTACATTGATGTTGGTACTCCAGGGATCCATTCAGATGTTTTAAGGTGCACCTGTCAGCAGGGTGTCAAAGCTTTCCTGGTCTTGTCCATACATAACATATCACTGCCTGCATTACAGGCTCTTACCACTGGGGGGCAGTGTTGCAGTACACAGATCTTTCCACTAGGTGGCAGTGTTGCAGTACACAGATCTTTCCACTAGGTGGCAGTGTTGCAGTACACAGATCTTTCCACTAGGTGGCAGTGTTGCAGTACACAGATCTTTCCACTAGGTGGCAGTGTTGTGTTACACACCTCTTACCAAAAAAAAACACCTCTTACCACTAGGTATCAGTGTTGCATTACACAGCTCTTACCACTAGGGGCAGTGTTGCAATACACAGCTCTTACCACTAGGGGCAGTGTTGCAATACACAGATGTTATCACTAGGTAGCAGTGTTGCATTACACACCTCTTACCACTAGGTAGCAGTGTTGCATTACATACCTCTTACCACTAGGTAGCAGTGTTGCATTACGCAGATGTTACCACTAGGGGCAGTGTTGCGTTTGCACGGCTCTTTCCATTACGGGCAGTGTTGCATTACACAGATGTTACCACTAGGTGGCAGTGTTGCAGTACACCTAGGCCCCCTTCCCTGCAAGGGAATGACAACCCTAAAAGACTATCTGTGTAAAGTCATGTAGATTTTTTTTAATCTCAGCATTACAGGACTAGTCTAAAACCAAAAACTACATATTGGATACATGAATGGGACTTTCATTTAATTGTGATGTTTATCAATAGCATTACTTCTAAAAAGAATACTGACAGTTGTCCACTCCAATTACCCCAACTGGTCATGCGATAGATAGGCAAGATGTGTTCCCTATCAAGTGACCCACTGACACTCTAGGAGGCAATGCTTCTTTGACTTGACCCAGCCTACCATCTGACCCATTGGGTCATGGACTCTCTAGGGGGCAATGCTCCTTTGGCTTGACCCTGCCTATTGCATGATCCATTGGGCCATTGCCATTCTAGGGACATGATGCTTCTTTGACTTGACCCATTAGACCTTTGACTCGACCCGGCCTATTGCATAACCCATTGGGCCATTGACACTCTAGGGGGTGATCCTTCTTTGACTTGCCCCTGTTCAAGTCCCAATTATTTATCCAATATATAGATTGGGTAGGGGGGATTGGGTAGAGGGATGTCGGCACCAGAGCTAAGAAAACGTATAGTAAAATTTATAGCGCTCGCCCTATTCTAATTCCAAAAACTGTATGAAAACTTTATCGAGCAAAACCCTCCGCCACTACCGCAGCTGGTGCCTTATTGCCAAAAACTTGTGCGGCACAAATATCTTTGATCCATATGCCCGACGCATCCTAAACATAGTGGAGGTCGGGTCGAATATTGTGCCCATAGATACATAGTAAGGGATTTGCTGCACAGGAGCCACGAGTGACAGAAAAACAAAACCCCGTCCGTGGGCAGGCTTCGATTTCACGCCAACATATGTGCCGAGCTGGTCTCCTTTCCCTTCACACGTATTTGCCTCGAAATTCTAATTCATCCAATTTTCATACTGCTGCCACTTTATTGGGCAAAACCAAATTAATTTCACTAAAAAAAACAGCACGGCTTGGTTGCGTCAAGTTTGAGAATGAAGACTCCCATTTAGAACTGTCTCCCCTCCCCCCGGCACCCCATCAGTGTATAGGTTGCGCCCGTGGAACAGTCGCGCACATCCCTGTTAAACATTTAAAAAATAAAAAGCAAATGTTGTGTTGGTCCGTTATTGTAACGAGGAAAGTTTTTCTCCTTTCTACAGAATGTTTTTGGGAAGGGAGAGGTCATCTCTCTCTCTCCGCTAACAGTCAGCAATCTTCTCACTGCTCGGCTTGGGGGAGTCTTCCAGGAGCAGCGCGTCGTCCATCTTGTCTTCTCACTGGTAGCCGCCTCCTGACGCGGATCAGCTCTCCGATGAACCCGTTTCTGCGTCCTTCAGGTCCTGCGTGCTCTCCGCCTCCTCCGGAATGTCCTGCATTCTCTGGAATTCTGTGGATATCAGACACAAGGTGTGAGAACGCCGGGCCGGCATGCAGAGGGGTCACCAACTCATTTAGTACAAATATCACTAGGGCTGCAGCTAACGATTAGTTGCCTGATTTATTTTTTCCATTAATCGATTAGTTGCATTAAAATCTCCCCCCAGGTTTAGTTTACACAACCCCAACCATCTTTATATGTGTTAGTCCCTTGAGTCACATTGTGGAAGGTGTAAAGTGTTGTCGTATAACTTGGGTAGAGATGTTAAAACGGCATTGTGTGTGGAGATAAGTGTGGAAGTTCCCCACCCCTGTCCAGGGACGGTTTCTAAGTTGACGTTGATGGCCTCATGAAGCCAGCCGTCCTCCCTGTCCTGGAAAAAGTGTCCCATTTCCTTAAAGTGACACTAAATCCTCCAATCATCTCTGAGTTGGTGCTGACACTGTCCTTCCTTCTGGAGGGTGGCTACTTTTGTTCCCCATGGTCCCTGTGTGTGTTGTAGAGTAGTCACCGCTCCAAGCTCACTCCCGGGATGGACTACAATCTCATGTTTTAATTTACTAATTTGTAATGAGATTGTAGTCCATGACTCCTGAATGGGAGGGGTCTGATTCTTGAATGGGAGGGGTCTGATTCCTTAACGGGAGGGTTTGACCCCTGATTGGGAGAGGTGTAATTTCTAAATGGGAGGGTTCTGATTCCTGAATGGGAGGGTTCTGATTCCTGAATGGGAGGAGTCTGATTTCCTGAATGGGAGGGGTCTGATTCCTGAATGGGAGGGGTCTGTGTTCATTGGAATCAGCTGGTGGACTTCCTGTGTTCTAATGAGGAAAGTATCTCATCAATGTCACCAGAGTCACCAGTGAGTCCCAGCCTGCATAGTTCCCCCTCCTATGTTGGACCGTTGGTTGGTTGAGAGGTTGTTGTATCTCCCCGATTCCTCACCACACTGCACTGCATATACTGAATGACTTTGCACGTATTTGGGTCTGTTGGATGTACAAGCTTCGGTCTTGGCTTGTTCTTGGGCTCAGAAGACGCAGGGCGCCATGTTTGTTAAAGATCGCTCAGATACTTCTGAGCTGAGACGGAATCTTGTACATCCAAAAGACCCAACACAAGGGAAGTCACGTGGTATATGGAGTGGATGTGGTGACCTGAACATCGGGGAGACAAAACAAATTCTTAACACATGAACGGCCCAACATAGGAGGGAGAACTTTTCCAGGTTGGGACTCCAAAGCCTTCCTACACTACAAGGAAAGGAGACGTTCTTTGGATGGACAATGAGGTGGACGTTTTCGGCCAGAGATGACAACCTTTTACAAGAGCCGTGAAAGAGGTCATCTACATCAAACTGGAGCCTCCATCCCTGAAGAGGGGTGAAGGCCTTCGATTCCTTCTGTCTTCTACATGTAATGCCATTTTACATCATACGTGGAACCACAGCCATGTTAAGTATGCAGACACCAGGGATAGGACTATGTAACTAGCGCAAGGGGGGATTCTACAACTTTCATACCTCCCATCCTCTTCTTGGACAATCATCAGCCTTTCCATGGAGGTCGGCTTAAAGCTAAAGAACAATCCTTCTTTGAAGTTGCGTTGCTCCTGAACTGCAGGGGTTAAATCTAGGGATGCACCAATACTAGTATCGGTGCCGAGTATTTGGGTACTCATACTCTCCTAAATGCTCCGATGCCTAGCCCGATACCCGAGCTTCCGGTATCAGGAAGTCGGGCAGCGAGTCATTACACGCTGCCCAACTTCCTGATTGGCCGGGAAGCTGGTTGCCTGTAATGACGTGGCGCCTGGCTATCTGGCCGGGAAGCCGGCTCCATGCTCCCTCGTCACCAGGGAGAATGGAGGCAGCTTCCAGGCCAATCAGGAAGCCAGGTGCCGCATCATATACGGTGCCCGGCTTCCTGATTGGCCAGAAATCCGGCTCCATGCTTTCTCATCATCTAGTGACGAGAAGCATGGAGACGGCTTCCCTGCTAATCAGGAAGCCGGGCAGGGAGTCATTACAGGCCGCCTGGCTTCCTTAATGGGACTTCCGGCATCGGTATTCGGTATTGGTGAGTACTGAAAAAAATATATATCGGTACTCGATACCAAAAAAACGGTATCAGTGCATCCCTAGTTAAATCCTCATTTAGGCCAAGGGTACCAGTAAAAAGGACTTTCTTACCTTATCCCTCACTCCGGCAGGCTCCCTCCATGCCATGTGGCCGGGTGCCACAGCCACTCTGGCGGTCGCACGTAATCGGATACAATGCAGGACCAATAGCACTGCATTGTAAGTGAGGATGCTGAGGGACCGCCCACACCCCAGAGTGAGAAATCGAGTAAGTAAATCAATGAAGTTGAGTAACTCAACACAGTCACAGATAGAGAGCAAGAGTTTGAACCTTCTGTATGTCTGAGCAGTAGAACTAACCGGGGGTCAGCAGGAGCAAGGTAAAAGTGCTAGAGATATATTTACACATTTACTTGATTTTCCCTATTTGGTGGAAAACCAAAAACAAGATGTTTTTTTATTCTTTAATTTTTTTCCACGTGTTTCCCTGCGCTCACCTCGTGTGCTTGATGGGGACGTTGGCGCCCCTCCACCTTCTTCCTCTGACGACTCCGTGTCTATGGTCTCCGGCAGCCTCTCCAGCTCGGTGAGGTCGCTAAAGTCGTCTTTCAGGTCAGAGTCCTCCTGCAAGGTGATGATGGGGACTGAGCCGTCCAGAACAGACGCAGATCGGCGTTCGTGGTTTATCTGCGCACAAAAGGAGACAGGCGGGATAAAAAAAGGGGTCTGTGGGCGTGGCCATGCAAGTGAACTTGACATGGATGTATTGGATTATCGCATTGGTCAGAAAGTGGTCTGTGGGCGTGGCCATATAGAGTTAACGTGACATGGATGTATTGGATTATCACATTGGCCAGACATGTACCTGGGGCGGAGTGAAGGTTTGGTACAGGGCGTCACCAGCTGGCAAACTGCGTCGCCTTGGGTCCGTCCCCCTCGGACTCCTGCCGATATCTGACATCCCGTTGCCCTTCTGTAGAGCATTCAGCTGCTTCTTCCCCTCCTCCAGCTCCTGCTCCAGCTTACTCCGGACCTGCTCACTCTCTCTAAGCCGGGCCTCCAATGTCCCCGCCTCCTGCGCCCGCTCCTCGCACTGCCGTCTGCAGCGGCGCAGCTCCTCTTGCAGCAGGGTGTGCTGTCGCTGAAGGAGGGTCAGCTCAGTCCCGGATTTGTCCATGCTCTTGGATAAGGGCTCTGCTACTGACAGGTCACGGGAGTTGGTGCGGGACAGGTTCTCTTTCTTGTCGGTGCGGTTCAGGTTCTCCTTCTTATCTGAGCCGTCGGGGATCTGGAGACTCAACAGACTGTCCTGCTGGGACACCACCACCTGTTGGAGAAATGCAGAGATTACTGTCAGTGCCGTGCCACCAGGGGGAGCCACTGCCAATGCTTCAACTCCAGACGGAACTGTGACTGGAGTTCTGCTGGGACTACAACTCCCATTAGCTGGCAGGGAATGCTGAACATTGTCGTTCCTTAGCAGCTGGAGGCCAGATGTCTATGTGTGTGTCTAATATAGATGGAGAGACTCTTACCTGGAGTCCATGTAACAAGCTGTACAGGTTGGAGATCCTTTGCAAAGCCTCCTGGAAAAAAAAAAAGAGATTTGCTAATGATTTTTTTTTACATATAATGACTTAAAGGAGCGCCGGGGAGGGAAGTGTAGACGAGTATGTGCAGCAGTGAGGACAGACGTCAACATGAACCAGTTGTTTGGCCCTACGTTGGCAAATCACGGGATCACTTTACATTGTCTAAATAGGGAACACGGGGTGGGGGTGGGACTTTTATCAAGGTTGATGCTTCCATCTATCAGGCACAATAATACTGCTCCTCTTCTGGGAGTGTCTAATTATATGTCTGTGCTGGCCCAGCTCGTCCGCCCCTTTCTTCACCTTTTATGCAGCTGCTGGGGGTGGAATGGTGGGGAGCAGCCTTCTCCCCCAAAGGTTGTTAGAGGTTCCTTGAGCAATTAGTAGTAGCTTATCTTGTGTCTGAAATTGCAAACACCAATTATCTTTTAACTACGGTAGCTGTAAGGAGCATTCTTCCACTGACCACCAATGTAAGAGGGCCCTTCTCCCACTGACCCCCAATGTAAGAGGGTCCTTCTTCCACTGACCACCAGCATAAGGGGGCCCTTCTTTCACTGACCACCAATGTAAGGGGATACTTGTCCCACTGACCACCAGCATAAGGGGCCCTTCTCCCACTGACCACCAATGTAAGAGGGCCCTTCTTCCACTGACCACCAATGTAAGAGGGCCCTTCTTCCACTGACCACCAATGTAAGAGGGCCCTTCTTCCACTGACCACCAATGTAAGAGGGCCCTTCTTCCACTGACCACCAATGTAAGAGGGCCCTTCTTCCACTGACCACCAATGTAAGAGGGCCCTTCTTCCACTGACCACCAATGTAAGAGGGCCCTTCTTCCACTGACCACCAATGTAAGAGGGCCCTTCTTCCACTGACCACCAATGTAAGAGGGCCCTTCTTCCACTGACCACCAATGTAAGAGGGCCCTTCTTCCACTGACCACCAATGTAAGAGGGCCCTTCTTCCACTGACCACCAATGTAAGAGGGCCCTTCTTCCACTGACCACCAATGTAAGAGGGCCCTTCTTCCACTGACCACCAATGTAAGAGGGCCCTTCTTCCACTGACCACCAATGTAAGAGGGCCCTTCTTCCACTGACCACCAATGTAAGAGGGCCCTTCTTCCACTGACCACCAATGTAAGAGGGCCCTTCTTCCACTGACCACCAATGTAAGAGGGCCCTTCTTCCACTGACCACCAATGTAAGAGGGCCCTTCTTCCACTGACCACCAATGTAAGAGGGCCCTTCTTCCACTGACCACCAATGTAAGAGGGCCCTTCTTCCACTGACCACCAATGTAAGAGGGCCCTTCTTCCACTGACCACCAATGTAAGAGGGCCCTTCTTCCACTGACCACCAATGTAAGAGGGCCCTTCTTCCACTGACCACCAATGTAAGAGGGCCCTTCTTCCACTGACCACCAATGTAAGAGGGCCCTTCTTCCACTGACCACCAATGTAAGAGGGCCCTTCTTCCACTGACCACCAATGTAAGAGGGCCCTTCTTCCACTGACCACCAATGTAAGAGGGCCCTTCTTCCACTGACCACCAATGTAAGAGGGCCCTTCTTCCACTGACCACCAATGTAAGAGGGCCCTTCTTCCACTGACCACCAATGTAAGAGGGCCCTTCTTCCACTGACCACCAATGTAAGAGGGTCCTTCTTCCACTGACCACCAGCATAAGGGGGCCCTTCTTTCACTGACCACCAATGTAAGGGGATACTTGTCCCACAGACCACCAATGTGAAGGGGCACATCCCTGACCAACAATTTAAGTGGGATCTTCTCCAATGACAACCAATGTGAGGGAAAGCTGCCTTTTTTTCTCTGTCTGCGATTCTTTTGGGGCCATTATTGTGATCATTTATTTCATTTGCCGACATCACAACCAAGATGGCGGCACCCAGCAGTCTCAGGACTTTTGGGAGTATAGACAAGGGGCAGCTTTTAGGGCTTGTTTACATGACTGCAGAGGGCTGCACACCATCAAGAAGGGGCGTACAGGTGTTGGTGGGAGAAGGACTGTGGCCAGCATCTTGTACATGTCAATGACAAGGCAACAGATGCCATGGCTGTATGGAAGTCCGATCAGTTACATACATGGAGAGATGATCCAAACACCCGGGAGCAGAAATGTGACCCTGCTTGACGGCGTGCAGCCCTGTGAATGAGCTATCACAGGCAAGTAACATGCAGCACAAGCACATATAATCTTATGGGAAGAGTGTTGTGGATGCGATTGGTCAGGTGACAGGGTCTCTTTTAACCCCTTGGTGACACAGCTTCAGAAAATGTGTTTGTTTCTGGGGACCGGAACTATTTTGCTGTGTGATTGTTTAACCAGCATTCCCATTGTCCTCATGCACGGCACCTACACATATTATATACTGGCTTTTAAAGGACAAAATGGGCCTTAATGTGATGTGACGCATACGCATAGAGAAAGTCTGATATATTTTTCATAAAATAAAATGCAAAACAAAATTAAAGCATTTTCACAGTTTTGGCAACAATAATAATGTGTACATAAATAGTTCATAATACATTCTTTTATCTCTCCTGATTTATGGGGTATATCAGATGTCTGTGATTTCAGATTATTTTGGGGGTTATATGTCACAAAATACAAACTTTGTTTTCCTTTCTTTTTTTTTTAAACTAGGGGACACTAAGGGGTTATTTTTTTATTTGCAGGGACTTTGATACAAAGTATCTGAGGACAATACAATATTCTCCTCAGAGATACTAAGTATCACACAGCCGGCACAGTGAACAGCTGCCGGCTGTGTGACTGCCACGGCTCTGCGATCACAGCCATCAGCTCTGGCTGTGACCACCTAATCTGCGGTTGAGGGTCTGGCTTGGACCCCAAGGGACCCATCAACAGCAGTAACTCAATGAGCTCTGGTCCCTGCACGGACCAGCGCACATTGTACTGCATGACGGGATTATCCCGTCACCGGTTGTTAATTAAGTGAACGATGGTGACTGTATAATCCGGTCGGGAAGGGGTTAAAGCACACTTCATCTCCCAGGTAAATGCAGGTTTAGGCCACAGCGAACCGTCTGCAAGAGTTTGGGTCCTAAAAACCGCTCTCACCTCCTGCGGGCTCTTATTCTGAAGCTGGTTGCCGTTACGGTCCTATAGAAATGGAGAAGAAGACTTTTTAATAAAACATATTCCATCTCTTAAGATGCCGAACAGTCTTCATTGTAACAGTTTCTCAAGTTACCATTGGGGGAGGTTTTCCATTCACTTCCTGTCCTACAAACACAACAGGAAATGAGAAGAAATCTCCTCGTAGTTGTCACCAGAACAGGTGTCCCCCATTGAATGATTTCCTCTTTATTCCTGTTCTGCTAACAACTACAAGATGTTGGATTTCCCATCACTATCCTCTGTGTGCACTGACATGGTCACCACTTTATTATCTCCTTACCGCCACCCGTACGCATTTATATGGTAGCATGACAGTGGTCTTTACGCCGTGCTGCCACATATATGTTTCTATGTTTTGTGCTGGGAGTGTGAAGTGTCACTGATATTTCCAGGGCACACAGTAATGATTGGGAGCCCATGGGACACGTGATCACTTAGCCAATCCCAGTGATCACATGACCACGGAGCCCATGTACCACCTCTGGCATTACAATCTCTTAAAGGGCCAGCAGTTTTTGTCTCACCTTCTGGCTGGTGTCCTCGTCCAGGGATCCGTTCACACTGCTCGAGTCGCCATCTGTCAGGAAAGAGAAGACATATTAAGCTCAACATACAAAGTCTGGGGACAAAATGGTCTTCAGGTCACTAGCCTGCCTATATCTCAGCCTGCTAAACCAATATCAAGGCTCTGGGCCCCCTCCACCTCCGGGGGTTATTGTAGGTGCTCAGCTACGCTATCATAGAGCATATTGTATATGGCAGTGATACTACCCAGGCAGCCAATCACCGGACCCCAACCTCCACCACCATACAGCGCTAGGGACAGAGGTGTATTCGCAATGGTTTCCAAGAACCACCTGCACTCCTTACAACATAAGCGGTGCTCGTGGTGATCGCACGGATGGCGCCGTGCAAAACTCAAAGTAATCGCAGTGGGTCACCAGCACAAGTCAGATTATTAAATGTCACTGCAGGCTCTTGAAGCAATATCTGTACCCAATGGGGTATTCATGCACCGCATGTGGGGAGTGTAGACGCAGCCACGTCTAGAGAATGCGGAGTCACAAAGGACCATGAAAATGGACATTCCATAGACATATCTGTATCTGTATCTACAGTTCCCCTGTGACCTAGAGCAAACTTAGGAGACTTATCATTGGACATAAAGAATAATTGAAGATCGAGAATCGTTATCGGGGAACAGCGAAGGAAATAATGACAAAGTTGCAGATTTCTCTGCCATGGTATGACAGTGATCAGAAAGGGACATATACTAAGACTCAGCAGATGGCAAACATGGCTCATGTAACACAGACCGGCGCCCTCCGGTGGACACTCACATGTGGAGTCCCTGGATGGGGTAGACGTGTGATTGTAGTCGACTGTAAGAGGCTGCTCGTTTCCTATCGTTATAATGACGTCCTTCAACGCTTCCACTGTGAGAGGAAAACAGATCATTGTATGAAACTATATACATGTATAATAATAGTGTGTGACTGTGGGGGGGGATTAGAGTGTAAGCTCCTCTGCACAGAGACTGATGTGACTGGCTCAGTGCTCTCTGTACAGCGCTGCGGTCCATGTCAGAGCTATATACATGTATAATAATAGTGTGTGACTGTGGGGGGACATTAGAGTGTAACCTCCTCTGTACAGAGACGGATGTGACTGTGGGGGGACATTAGAGTGTAACCTCCTCTGTACAGAGACGGATGTGACTGTGGGGGGACATTAGAGTGTAACCTCCTCTGTACAGAGACGGATGTGACTGTGGGGGGACATTAGAGTGTAACCTCCTCTGTACAGAGACGGATGTGACTGTGGGGGGACATTAGAGTGTAACCTCCTCTGTACAGAGACGGATGTGACTGTGGGGGGACATTAGAGTGTAACCTCCTCTGTACAGAGACGGATGTGACTGTGGGGGGACATTAGAGTGTAACCTCCTCTGTACAGAGACGGATGTGACTGTGGGGGGACATTAGAGTGTAACCTCCTCTGTACAGAGACGGATGTGACTGTGGGGGGACATTAGAGTGTAACCTCCTCTGTACAGAGACTGATGTGACTGGCTCAGTGCTCTCTGTACAGCGCTGCGGTCCATGTCAGAGCTATATACATGTATAATAATAGTGTGTGACTGTGGGGGGAGATTAGAGTGTAAGCTCCTCTGTACAGAGACTGATGTATGAAGTTGTATCTTCTCCTTCCTCCTCCTCCAGGTGTCTCACCTTCTTTGATGGCCTCGTTGATGATCTTCTCTCCGCGGTAGCTGTCCGTTGATTCTGTCCGGAATAGTTTGCGAGTGTTCCCCATCACAGGAGCGTCCTCTCCCGCCTGTAGCTGTAGCACCTTTGAAAACAGCGTCACCTTCTCCTCCAGGATGGCTGCCACCTCTGTGTCCCTCTGCTGTATGACCTCTGCCAGGAACAAACACAATGGTTAGAGTTGAACTCACAGGTAAGGGATAAAAAAAAAAAATTCCGAAAGGAAAAAATAGGATTTTTGACTTAAGAATAAAATCTGGGTATAATGACAGTATCTGCACTGGCTAGAGCTGTGAGGACCCTCAGACAACCTCTCCCCTCCAGGAGGGGGTCTTCAGGGACGGGGGTCACATCATTGCAGACACGCCAATGCACTGGACCTGGATAGCACCCCGTGACCAAGATGGGTGCCTAATGCAGGATCCAGTGCCCGAAGCGACATTACAGGCCGGCCCACGTCTTCAGTCCTGCAGGGTCCGGGTATGGTGCACAAAGCTGCTGCTGTGGGGCACCTAGCGGAAGCTGTGACTGGAAACCAGCCAAAAGATCTTGATTGAACACAGAAACCAATTTAACTAAACTACACACATCGCCCTCAGTATAGAGGAGACATCAAGACCCCAAGGACACTAGCCAAAAACTGAGGGTTTCCTAAAAGGGGCGGGATTATAGGAGGGTCCTCACAGCTCTGGCAGTGTCCAATCACCTGATGATACCGGCATATTACCCAGTTGTCTCTGAATCTGCCTGTGTCCTGTACTGTATGATCAAGAAACTCTGGTTACCCTCACCAGCCAACAATATTCTCAGTTTCGTATGCAGCAATGGAAACACAACTACAGGAATCTAGTGTCTGTTATGGAAAAAGGACAGACCTTCGGATATTTGGCACTACTGCACATGTTCATATCGGTAAGCTGAGCCTCTTGTGACTCTCCAGTTTTTAAGAGGCTAAACGTCCCAACACGGCCTGCCAAGGCTCTTTAACAGCTGGGAGTTTTAAAAGACAATCAGTGATCTATGTGCATGTACTACTTTTTTTGCAATGAAGCCTGCAGAGCATTGCACCCATGATAGCTGCATATAAATGCAATGCACAGACTCTTGCAATGTTTTCCCCTCAGCAGAAGATCCATATGGTGGTACAGAGCATCCGTCATGGCTAGGGATGCACCGATACCAAGTATTTGGGCGTGTATTCGTATTCCCCCAAATGCTCCTGATGCCTATCCCGATATCTGAGCTTCCAGTATCAGGAAGCCGGGCAGCAAGTCATTACATGCCACCCGGCTTCCTGATTGGCCGGGAAGCCGGCTCCATGCTCCCTCGTCACCAGGGAGCTTGGAGCTGGATTCTTAGCCAATCAGGAAGCTAGGGATCGGATAATGACTCGCCCCCCGGCTTCCTGATTGGCTGGGAAGCCGACTTTATGCTCCCTCGTCACTTGGCGACGAGGGAGCACGGAGCCAGCTTCCCAACCAATCAGAATGCGGGGGTCCGTGTAAGAACTCGCCGGCCCGGCTTTCTGATTGGTGAAAAGATGGCCAATCGGGAAGCCAGGCGGTGAGTCATTACCCGCCCCCGGCTTCCGGATTGACTAGAAAGCAGGCTAATTGGGAAGCCAGGTGGCGAGTCATTACAAGCTGCCTGGCTTCCTTAATGGGACTTCAGGTATCGGTGAGTACTGAAATACTGGTATGGGTGCATCCCTAGTTATGGCGGAAGTGAATTGCAGCTTGACTCCAACTTACTGTAATGTCACTGCACTGCTGCTGGGGCGCCCCACAAAGTCCCTCTGATGGAACTTGTAGGAAATAATCCCAGACCTGGATGATGTGACTGTGCAGGAGGAGCCACACATAACCGCAACAAATGACTACAAGTTTCTGTTGCAAGTAGTATCCCATGTTTCAGGTAAGGGGGGGGGGGGGGGGGGGG